TGAACCACCCACCCCCCCCCCCCCCCCCCCGTGAATCCTGTTCCATGCCCAGAAGACGACAAAAAACATCCAGGATCCCCGGTCAAACGGGCCGGGAGAAAAATTGCTTCCTGACCAAGGCTCCCTCTAAGCTGTGGAGTCTTGTGAGCAAAAATTCTACCTTGGGAGCAACTGGCATTAAAGTTGTGAGCAAGCAGTTTGGCTGCTGCATAAATTAGTTTGCTCTGGAGCCCTCCTTCCTGAGCAAAGACAAAAATGTGTGAGCCGGAGGCTAGAAATCTGTGAGCTAGGCCACACTAACTCAGCTTAGAGGGAACACTGTTCCTGACCCCAAAGTGGCAATCAGCATTTCCCTGGGCGTGTAAGAGAGGGCCACAAGAACGAAGCACCTGGTTCCCATGCCTCTGATTTACCCCTAGGGATGCCAGCCTCCAGGTGGAACCTGGGGATCCCCTGGAATCGCAGCTCATCACTAGACTATGGATAACCAAAAACAGATCATGGGATAAGTGAGTAGAAAATAGTCAATGGCGACCATGATATATTTACAAAGGGAGTATCACTGTTTTGTAGATTTTCAAAAAAACACAACAACAGATCAGTATTAATACTAATACCAATACATTTACTGTCTGTAAGAACTTTAGATGATTGGAGCGTGCTTGTAGACATTGTGGAATGTTTTTTTGATGTTTATAACTTGCACGAAGGTACAGAGATGTATTAGTATTAGTTTTAATATTGATCTGTTTTTTGAAATTCTATCAAAGGGTGCGGTCAGATGGCGTGCTGAGAGCGGGTTAAACTGCTCAGGTTCTAACCGGATTATATTTGATCTGGATAATCGCGCTCACAGCTCCCTTATCCAGCCTCACTGCACAGTCACATCGCTCCCCGGCGTCTACACTACTGACACGTGGGAGAGTGTGTCGGTGAGTTTTTAAAACCCCCCCCTCAGTTTGCACATGCGCATAGGCGCCCCTCTGTAGAAGGGGGGGAAACTATCATGGCACACACACAGAACCACCAGGGCGAATCAATCCAACCCCTCCAACAAAAGACTTCCCTTTAAATGTTTGACCCGAAAATGGCCTCCGTGAGATCCCGAACTCATCTAAACACTAAAACAAGTGACCGTTTAAATGTTGGTTTTCTAAACGCGGTGGTGGAGCTCCGCCTATGCGCACACCGCCAACACATTAAAAAAACGGCAGGCGAAAAGGGGAAGCCTCGGGCAGCTTTTGAGCGGGGAGGGGGTTTAAACTGGAAGTGGCTTGACACCGCAGGAGCGATCAGACGTCAGAAAAGTGTGGCTAGAACCGGAGAATCGGGAAAACACCACTTGGGGACCTGGTAACAAAAGACTCAGTTTTAAAGGGGGGTTGAGCCGGAAAGCGACGGCTGGGGATGGTGGGCAGATGTTGGGTGTGTGAACGTGGGTATAAAATCCATTACTGCAGCGTGCCGGAAGTGGACTAAACGGCCCGTCTGAACGAGTGCTATTTCCTTTGCAAATATATCACAGGTTGCCGTTGACTATTTTCTACTCATCTCGACTACAGTAATCAGTTCCTCTAGAGAAAGTGGCTGCTTTGGAGGGGGGACTCTGTGGCCTTGTGCCCCACTGAGGTCCAGGGATACCATCCTCCAGGTGGGGCCTGGGGATCCCCCGGAATTATGGCTCGTCTCCGGACTACAGAGATCAGTTCCCCTGGAAGGAATGGCTGCTTTGGAGGGTGGACTCTGTGGCCTTGTGCCCCGCTGAGGTCCAGGGATGCCAACCTCCAGGCCCCGGAATTCCAGCTCATCTCCGGATTACAGAGATCAGTTCCCCTGGAGGGAATGGCTGCTTTGGAGGGGGGACTCTGTGACCTTGTGCCCCACTGAGGTCCAGGGATGCCAACCTCCAGGCCCCGGAATTCCAGCTCATCTCCGGACTACAGAGATCAGTTCCCCCTGGAGAAAATGGCTGCTTCGGGGGGGGGGGACTCTGTGGCATTGCGCCCCATTGAGGGCCTCCCCAGGCTCCACCCCCAAATCTCCAGGAGTTCCCCAACCTGGATATAGCAACCCTTCCTCCCCATCCCCTAATGGGGGCCAGGGGGGCCCTAGCAGCTCAATTACATCCCCCCCCCCCCAGCTTGTGCACTGTAATCCTGTGTGGGGTCAGCACATATCTTTGCATTTCTTCCAGACAAGGTGCTGTAACTGGGGGAAGCCCCCGGTTTACTTATCGGCTCGGCTGTAAAAACCTCTTGGTTTGTCCCTTCGTGCGCGATCTGGGGAGAATAGCATTGGCCTACTTTGCAGGGTTGTTGTTGTAAAGGCTCTGGAGGGATTTATTTTATTGGGTCTTGCATCCCTTCCCAGTGGGGACTTTGCTGGGGGACCTTGGGCCAGTTGTGCACTCTCAGGCCTAACCTACCTCACAGGATTGTTGTGAGAATAAAATGGAGGAGAGGGGAATTATGTAAGCCATGTTGTGTTGCCATTGGGGAGAAAGCTGGGCTATAAATGGAGTAAAGAAATACTTTATTATCCTCCTGATATCTTCTGATTATGCTGCGGTAGTAGACATGGATGCAGGGGCTGGTGGGGAAAAGCGAACAGCTGTACGCTGGCTGAAAGTGTACAGATGATTTCAGGGAGTGGCGATGGAAGGCAGGTAAGGTATTTGAGGTTATATCGACTGAATCCTACGATAAGCATATGGAGCAGAGGTCCATCAGTGGCTATTAGCCACAAGGTATAAATAGGGGCTCTGGGGCAAGTGATGCTCTGTCTTCTTGGTGCTTGGGGGGGCAATAGTGGGAGGGCTTCTGGAGTTCTGGCCCCACTGGTGGGCCTCCTGATGGCACCTGGTATTTCTGGCCACTGTGTGACACAGAGTGTTGGACTGGATGGGCCTTTGGCCTGATCCGACATTGGCGTCTCTTATGTTCTAAGGTGGTAAGAGAAGTCAGGATCCCTATACGTAACTCACCCTCCTTCCTTTACCGCCTTGTGAAGAAGAGAAAAAGAAAGAGATTGGATTTATACCCCACCCTTCACTTGGAGTTTCAGAGCAGCTTACCATCTCCTTCCGTTTCCCTCCCCACAACAGACACCCTGTGAGGTAGGTGGGGCTGAGAGAGCTCTTTCAAGACTGTCCTGGAGAGAACAGCTCTGCGACAACTCGTGTCTGACCCGAGGTCACACCAGCTGCTGCATGTTTGGTGTAGTGGTTAAGTGTGCGGACTCTAATCTGGGAGAACCGGGTTTGATTCCCCACTCCTCCACGTGCACCTGCTGATGTGACCTTGGGTCAGTCACAAGCTCTGGCACAGCTGTCCTTGAAAAAGAGCAGTTTGTGTCAGAGTTCTCTCAGCCCCACCCACCTCACAGGTTGTCTGTTGTGGGGAGGGGAAGGGAAAGGAGTTTGTAAGCCGCTCTGAGATGCCAAGTGAAGGGCGGGGTATAAATCCAATCTCTTCTTCTTCTTCTTTTACCTCACAGGGTGTCTGTTGTGGGGAGGGGAAGGGAAAGGAGTTTGTAAGCCGCTCTGAGACTCCTTTGTGTAGTGAAGGGCGGGGTATAAATCCAATCTCTTCTCTTCTTCTTCTTCATGTAGGGGGGAGTGGGGACTCAAACCCGGTTCTCCCAGGTTAGAGTCCGCGCTCCTAACCACTGCACCAAACTGGCTCTCTTTTAGTGTAGACTGAAACTCTGTGCGGAAGTGTCCTTTCCATCTTTTCTCCCTCCCAGTGAAATCTCCTAACTTTGTGTCTCCACAGAGTAGCGGGAAAAGCTCTGTGCTGGAGAGCATCGTCGGCCGGGACTTCTTGCCACGTGGCTCGGGCATCGTCACGCGCCGGCCGCTCATCCTGCAACTGGTGCACGTCCCAACCCTGGAGGAGAGGAGGCGGGCGGCCAGTGGAGAAAGCGGTAAGGGGCGGAGGGAGGACGGGCACTCTTCTCCCAGGAGCGCAGGAGTGCTTTGTGGTCGCTTATTTCGTAATCTGCCTTGAGTGCTCTCTAGGAATGGAAAGTGGCTAATGAATGTTAAGTCAACAAAATAAACCAGGGCTATTTTTGGGCAGTAACGCACAGGAACGGAGTTCCGGCTGGCTCCTGAGTTGGCCATGCCCAGCAGGAACTCATTAGCATAATAGGCCACACCCAACAGCAGGAACTCATTAGGATTGGCTACATTAGGGGTGTGTGGCCTAACATGCAAAGGAGTTCCTGCTACAAAAAAGGCCCTGGGTTTTGACAACAAACAAGGTAAGCAGAATAAAAAGCAAAAGGTGGGTGTGGCTGGATGAGCACACTTCTGGTAACATGGGGGTGTGGCCTAATATGCCAATGAGCTGTGCTGTCATGGGTGTGGCCTAATAGGCTAATGTGCTTCTGCTGTTGGGTGAGGCCTATTATGCTAATGAGTTCCTGCTGGGCTTTATCTACAAAAAGAGCCCTGAAATAAATAAATAGCTGCAAACCTTTTTGGTTTGGCTGTGGGTCTGCAAAGCGGGTGGGGCTGTTTGGTCAGACCAACACGCATCCAAAGAAGTGTTCCCTCTAAGCTGAGTTAATGTGAGCTAGCTCACAGTTTTTTAGCCTCCGGCTCACACATTCTTGTCCTCGCTCAGGAAGGAGGGCTCCAGAGCAAACTCATGTATGTAATGAATGTATGTATGTAATGAATGTATGTAAACTCATGTATGTAATGAGCAAACTCATGTATGTAATGAAACTCATGTATGTAATGAGTGTTTTAAGTCAACAAAGTAAATAAATAGCCTCAAACCTTTTTGGTTTGGCTGTGGGTCTGCAAAGCGGGCTGTTTGGTCAGACCAACACGCATCCAAACAAGTGTTCCCTCTAAGCTGAGTTAGTGTGAGCTAGCTCACAGTTTTTTAGCCTCCGGCTCACACATTCTTGTCCTCGCTCAGGAAGGAGGGCTCCAGAGCAAACTCATGTATGCAGCAGCCCAATCGCTCGCTCACCACTTGAATGCCAGCAGCTCACCAAGTAGAATTTCTGCTCACAAGACTCCACAGCTTAGAGGGAGCATTGATTCCAAACCATTATCACTCTACCTTCTTCAAACCGCTGTAGAACTTGAATTGTTACTTGAAGGGTTTTGCTAAACAGGTCCAACCTAAGAAAAAAAGAAACACCTTTGGTTGGGACTCGCACAATGTTTGGTTGGTTCATTGGTTAGAGCCGGGGATCACCAACGTGCCAATGGATGCCCTGGTACCTGCCAACACCTTTTGAGCTGCCCGGCAAGAGTGTCTAGAAAGTCAGTACGGGCATGTGGGGCTTTTGTCCTGCCAGGCTTCTGATTGGCCATTGGAGATTTGATTGGCTATGCAGGATTTTAAAAAGGTTGCTTTGGCAGCAGCTGCCACCGCAGCGCAAGGGTCTGCACTCTGTGACTGGAGGGGTGCAGCGGCAGCCATTTTGTGGCTGGCCCCGCCTCCTGTGGCTGCCATTTTGTGGTCGCACCCACCACCCTCTGTCAGCATTCCAAAGATGCCTACAGGCTCGAAAAAGGTTGGAGTGATCAGTTTGAAGCGTGGTCTTGAGTAATCCAGGCGGCAGGCCTTTTAAAACTGTTTGACGCCAGTAATAAGCTACTGTCTTGGATTTGGCCTTTTGAGAAGCAAAGGCTGAACATGTGCGAAAATAAAAACCGCCAGTGGCAGATAGCATTGCAGAAGAGGCGCTCTCTTTCCCCCACACCCCTTTCCCAGGAGAAATGGTCCTCAATGTGATATGTGTGAGCATGAAGACTGTGGTGTTTATTGTGCTGTGAATCTGCCTGGGGCGTTAGAGAACAAGAATAAAGGGCCCTGCCCCAAGGAGCTTCCAGTCTGACATGAGGCGATCGGGAGGCTGTGATACAATTGCTTTGGTGCTGTTGTTGGCGAGGGTTCCCAGGGCCGTTCGGTTGGCTGGTGGGTTGTCATCTTCAGCTGGTTGGGAAGACCCCACCCCCGGCTTTACTCCTCAGGGGTTGCCTCTTGGCTCTGGGCAGAGCTATTCTTGGGCAGGAACGCACAGGAATGGCGTTCCGGCTGGCTCCCGAGTTGGCCACGCCCAGCAGGATTTCATTAGCATAGTAGGCCACACCCAACAGCAGAAACGCATTAGGATTGGCTACATTAGGGGTATGTGGCCTAACATGCAAAGGAGTTCCTGCTACAAAACAAGCCCAGGGTTTTGACAACAAACAGGGTAAACAGAATAAGAAGCAAAAGGTGGGTGTGGCAACATGGGGTATGTGGCCTAATATGCTAATGAGCTGTGATGCCAGGGGTGTGGCCTAATAGGCTAATGGATTTCTGCTGTTGGGTGTGGCCTATTATGCTAAGTAGTCCCTGCTGGGTTTTTTCTACAACCCCCCCCCCCGGCTCCGGGGTCATTGAGTGGGCGGGGGGCACTGTCTCCCACATGGCGGACAAGCCTCGAAGAGATCCTTGGCTGACTTCTGTTCCGTTTTTCTTTGGGCACAGGTGTCCAGGCGGAGGAATGGGCCACCTTTCTGCACTGCAAACACAAGGTACTGACCCAGAGGGGCCCCATGGGTGCTCAGGACTGGCTCAGTCCCAAAGAGGAAGGGGCACGTGGAATTCACTGCCGCAGGAAGTGGCGGCAGCTACAAGCATGGACGGCTTCAAGGGAGGATTGGATACACATATGGAGCAGAAGTCCATCAGTGGCTCTTAGCCACAAGGTGTCGATGGAACACAGTGTCTGGACTGGATGGGCCACTGGCCTGATCCAGCATGGCTTCTCTTATGTTCTTATATCTGAGGCAGTGATGCTCTGTATTCTTGCTGCTTGAGGGGGGGCAAGAGTGGGGGGGCTTCTGGAGATCTGGCCCCGCTGGTGGACCTCCTGATGGCCCCTGGGTTTTGGCCCCTGTGTGACGCAGAGTGTTGGACTGGATGGGCCACTGGCTTGATCCAGCATGGCTTCTCTTATGTTCTTATATCTGGGGCAGGGATGCTCTGTATTCTTGGTGCTTGGGGGGGCAAGAGTGGGGGGGCTTCTGGAGTTCTGGCCCCACTGGTGGACCTCCTGATGGCCCCTGGGTTTTGGCCCTTGTGTGATGCAGAGTGTTGGACTGGATGGGGCACTGGCTTGATCCAGCATGGCTTCTCTTACGTTCTTATGTCTGGGGCAGTGATGCTCTGTCTTATTGCTGCTTGGGGGGTGGGGCAACAGTGGGAGGGTTTCTGGAGTTCTGGCCCCGCTGGGGGACCTCCTGATGGCCCCTGTGTTTTGGCCACGGTGTGACCCGGAGTGTTGGACTGGATGGGCCTTTGGCCTGATCCAACATGGCTTCTCTTATGTTCTTATGTCTGGGGCAGGGATGCTCTGTATTCTTGGTGCTGGGGGGGCAAGAATGGGAGGGAGGCAGGTAGGAAACGGGTGGGAGACAGAGCTATGGCGTGGCCTCATTTGGAATGCTGTGTACAGTTCTCATGACCGTATCGCAAAAAAGGGCACTGCAGAGCTGGGAAAAGTACAGAGGAGGGCAAGCAGGATGCTGAGGGGGTTGGGGCCCCTTCCCTAGGAGGAAAGGCTGAAGCGTCTGGGACTTTTCCGTTTAGAAAGGAGAAGGCAAAGGGGGGGGGACGTGAGAGAAGTGTATAGAATGATGCATGAAGTGGAGAGGGCTGACAAGAAGAAATGTTTCTCACTGTCCGAAAATACTGGAAATCGAGGGCATCCCTATGAAGCTAATGGGCAGTAGTAGGTTCAGGAGGTAATACTTCTTTACACAGAGAGTCATTAAAATGTGGAATCTGCTGCTAGAGGACGTAGTGATGGCCACAGGAATAAGCAGCTTGAAAAGGACATTAGATAGATTCATGGAGGAGAAGTCTATCGATGGCTATTAGCCATGGTGGCTGAGGGGAACCTCCACGTTCAGAGGCAGTCAACCTCTGAATCCCAGAGCCAGGAGGCAACATCAGGGGAAGGCCTCGGCCTCTCTGCCCTGTTGTTGGCCCTCCAGAAGAACTGGCTGGCCCCTGTGTGAGACGGGATGCTGGACTGGATGGACCCTCACTGGTCTGACCCAGCAGGGCTCTTCTGGTGTTCTTCTCAGGGGAAGGCCTCCACCTCTCTGCCCTGTTGTTGGCCCTCCAGAGGAACTGGCTGGCCCTTGTGTGAGATGGGATGCTGGATTAGAGGGACCCCCACTGGTCTGACCCAGCAGGGCTCTTCTGAGGTTCTTATCAGGGGAAGGGCTCGGCCTTTCTGCCCTGTTGTTGGCCCTCCAGAGGAACTGGCTGGCCCCTGTGTGAGATGGGATGCTGGACCCTGGGTTTTGGCCTCGGCCTCTCTGCCCTGTTGTTGGCCCTCCAGAGGTACTGGCTGGCCCCTGTGTGAGACGGGATGCTGGACTAGAGGAACCCTCCCTGGTCTGACCCAGCAGGGCTCTTCTGGTGTTCTCATGCCAGGGTAGCTTCAGCACCATCCCTTGCTCTGAAACGCTGCTGTTTTCATCTAGTGGCTTCATAATCAGCTGGTTGGTGAAATGCTCTCTCTCTCTCCCACCTTCCCAGACCTTCACCGACTTCACCGAGATTTTGCAGGAGATCGAAATCGAGACCGAAAGGACAACCGGGACGAATAAGGTACGGGCGATAGACCCCCCCCCCCCCCGTCCCTTCTGGAGACACCCGGCTGCAGTGCGGTCTTTCCTTCACCGGTTCTTCTGCTTTCAGGGCATCAGCCAGGAGCCCCTCTATCTGAAGATCTACTCCCCTCACGTGCTCAACTTGACGCTTGTGGACCTGCCAGGGATTACCAAGGTGGGAGCTCCCTCTGGCCTAGTCGGTGCTGATCGCTTTGGGATGTCGACCCAAGAGCTGGGAGGTCTCCTTCCCTGTGGATCCATTAGGGGTGGAGAGCAGGATAGGAGGGGTTTAAATCACTGTTTCCCAAGCTGTGGATCGGGGTCCAGAAGCGGGTCGTGAAGCCTTTGGGAGTGGGTCGTGGCCAGCACTCCCTGAAGGCCACCCCTGCCAGTTTGGTGCAGTGGTTAGGACCACGGATTCTAATCTGGGAGAACCGGGTTCGATTCCCCACTCCTCCACATGCAGCTGCTGGGTCAGTCACAAGTTCTCTCGGAGCTGTTCTCTCAAGGGCAGTCCTCGAAAGAGCTCTCTCAGCCCCACCTCCCTCCCAGGGCGTCTGTGGTGGGGAGGGGAAGGGAAAGGAGTTTGTCAGCCACTCTGAGACACCTTTGGGTAGTGAAGGGCGGCGTATAAATCCAATCTCCTCTTCTTCTTTTACCTCCCAGGGTGTCTGTTGTGGGGAGGGGAAGGGAAAGGAGTTTGTAAGCCGCTCTGAGACATCTTTGGGTAGTGAAGGGCGGGGTATAAATCCAATCTCTTCTTCTTCTTCTTTTACCTCACAGGGTGTCTGTGGTGGGGAGGGGAAGGGAAAGGAGTTTGTAAGCCGCTCTGAGACTCCTTTGGGTAGTGAAGGGCGGGGTATAAATCCAATCTCCTCCTCTTCTTCTTTTACCTCACAGGGTGTCTGTTGTGGGGAGGGGAAGGGAAAGGAGTTTGTAAGCCGCTCTGAGACACCTTTGGGTAGCGAAGGGCGGGGTATAAATCCAATCTCTTCTTCTTCTTCTTTTACCTCACAGGGTGTCTGTGGTGGGGAGGGGAAGGGAAAGGACTTTGTAAGCCGCTCTGAGACTCCTTTGGGTGGTGAAGGGCGGGGTATAAATCCAATCTCCTCTTCTTCTTCTTTTACCTCACAGGGTGTCTGTGGTGGGGAGGGGAAGGGAAAGGACTTTGTAAGCCGCTCTGAGACTCCTTTGGGTAGTGAAGGGCGGGGTATAAATCCAATCTCCTC